TGTTATAGTAATGGCTATTAAGCCTGCACAGAAACCCACAAAAATGTATACCGTTGTAAGCCAAATAAAATGCTGTGCGTGTGTTGTTACCACAACTGGGTGAAAGCGCATCCTCCAGTGGACAGAAAGTGGTAGAAGGGCAGTTGACTGGCACACCTGAGTTCTGGAGGGGGGCCAGCGACTGAGCTTCTCCACAGACCCCACTAATATGCCCACTGTGTTCTGTAATAAGTAATGAGAAGGCAGGAGGAAGACCCGGATTCTCCTGATAGAACATATTCTCTATCTGGGAAGGCTCTAGAAAAGACTGAAACCCCAAGCCAGTAAGAATTGCCCCCTGGCCCCATCCTGACTCACTTCTTTGGTGGAAATCCCAGCAACCTGATCCTGAATCCAAACTTAGGTTTTTCTGCATGTGCTGGCTCCCCTCTGTTCTCTTCCTCCTCCTCCCTCCCACCTCCTCGGAGCCCTGGAAAGACTCAGATCTCTGAAGCTCGCTGAAGGCTGGCCTGGGTCAGGCCACTGTTTTCCAGGGCCGCTGATGACATGGGGATCAAAGCCAGTCTCAGAGGTGCAGCCTCTTGGAGGGGGGCCCCTATGCTCAGCGTGTACAGTTTGGGTGGGACCCTCTTCCCAGCCCTCGTGGCCCTTGGCACCTGCTGGGACACACTCCGCAGGCCTGGGCAAAGGGCACAGGGCTTCGGGGCAGTGGAGACGGCCTCTCTTCCCAGCCCCTGGCCCCAGAAATGCGTGGGATGATTTGAGGTCTTTCACTTCTATGTGGGGGATGGGGTGTCGTGCAGGTTAAGGGCGCTGAGAGTTCATCGGCAGACCTGGGGCTTGGTCTTGTGTTTTGTCTATTACTTGGAATCTCATGTGTCACCAGCCCTTTGATAAGACAAAGATGCCTGGCACAGATTCCAAGATAATGACGGTGGCCTGGCTGGTTGGCCAGGTTCAAAGGTCCTGAGGGAACAAATGGCCTGTGGGAAGGCTCTGAGCCACCACTGCCTGACTTAAACAGAGAGGGGTCCCTTTACCTAGCTGGCATATTGGGCTGTGCTCTTCATAAGATTTCGTTTGAGAAAAAAATAAAAATAAAAATAAAAAAACACCCTTCACAGGTTTCTATCAGTGTAAAAGATGTAGTTCAAGATCATGGGACAAGAAAATGTGATGGGGCCATTGGAGGTGTGGGACTCCAGAGGCTGGCCCCGCTCACTTCCTCTGGCACTAACCCCAGCCCCTGAGTGGCTGCAGGCTCCAGGAGTCTGCTCCAGCCGGCCCCTCCCTGCCCTGCTGCAGGTGCCCCCAGTTGCTAAGTGCTGCTACAGTGTCCTGCCGTGTCCTTGTCCTTCGCCCAGCACGCCTCTGCCCATCCAGATCCTCCCCACTCTTCAAGGCTCAACTTGATGTCTCTTCCCCACAAACCTCCCCTGACCCCCAACCCCAGACCTTCTCAGTCTTTGCTTGGGCTACGTCCATCTCGGCCTGTCTGTCCTCTCTAACTGCGTTCTTCCCCCATTCTTGGTAAGGATGCTTGAGAAGGTCAATAAGGCAGAGAGTCAGCAATGCACAAGGCCTGGGTTCAAATACCTGTCTGTCTTACGGACCTGGGGCCTGAGGGCAAGTTGTTCATCACTCTGGGCCTCAGTTTCCTCATCTGCACATTAGGAGTTGTAGTCAGGCTCAGGGTACATCTGGCTCATGTAAGAATCATTCATGTTTATTACCCTTGGCTGCCTCTTTCTTCCCTTTACTGTGGTCCCCTCACCGCACCCAACTGCCTTATCCAAAGCTTTACTTTCTGGTTTCAGTTGCTCACTGTCCATGTCAGTCTGAAAATAGCAAATGGAAAATTCCAGAAGTAAACAGTTCATAAAGTTGTAAATTGTGCACCTGAGGAGAATGATAAAACCCCAGGCTGCCCTGCTCCATCTCACCCGGGCAGGAGTCCTCTCTTTGTCCCGTGTATCCATGCCGCCGTGCTACCTTCCCATTAGTCACCAGGCAGTCATCTCTGTTATGAGGCCAAGTGTCACAGTATTGCAGTGCTTGTGCCTGAGTGACTCTTGTTTACTTAATACTGGCCCCAGAGCACAAGCGCAGTGGTAACAAGGGGGTACCAGGGCATAAACAGGGAAGGACAGGGGGACAGTGGTGCTATGTGTCTGTGTTGAAACATATCCTCCAAGCATAAGGGGGACATGTGGGGAGTGTTATTTAAAACATCTTATCAAAGTTGAATATATTCACAGAAATTTGCATTGCATTTTTTTCAAAGTGTTACATGCACCTGCCTTCAAGTTCAGGTGGCCCAAAGGGTTCATGACTAAAGGTAGCTGTCCCTAGACCCACTTCCCACCACCCCCTGAAAGTATTTTCACAATTGCATGCATGTTTACTGAAGAAACTCAGAAAACGAAGAAAGCAAAAGACAATGGTGTCATACTTTCAATCCCATTTCCCTCCCTCCCACCCATCTCCTCCTTCCAGATAACCAAATTATGCTTTTTCCCCCCACATAAGTCCTCACTGTATTTCTTGCTGAGCATTATAGCTTTAATCACACTCTGCCTTCAATGAAGGGAACAAACATAACATTTATTAAGTGAAAAGAAGCAGCAAATCCTTGACCCTTTTGCTAATCGGTGTGGCCCAGAGACCAGCAGCCCCTGAGCCTTACAAAGCCAACAGCATGCAGTGTCTTTGGCCCCACCCCAGAATCCACATTTTAACAAGATTGTGGTGACTGGGATGCCCACAAAAAGCTGCTAAGACTCTTGTAGATCAGAGCTACTCAAAGTTGCAATCCATGAGCTGCTTGTCACAGTCCTGAACGCGGGTTTGAGCCAGAGTGTAAACAGCATGCTGCTTCCTTAATCCAGAAAGACTTGCTACAAAACACTGTCAGCTGCACTAAGCAATGTGATTGATGAGGAGGGTGATTTACATTCTGCACCGAGCTCCTTATCTTGTCAGGGACAAGGGACCAAGCAGTTCATGAACTTGGCACCTCAGCGGTCCTCACTCTTCAGATCACACAGTTGGAAATTCGGGATGGGGACTGCATTTTTTGGCTTTAAATCCCAGTTTCTTCTACTCCGTGTATCTGACCCTTTACCCAACCATGTACACGCAAATGCACACATGTATGGGTGCACCACGTATACGTGCACACAACACATATGTGCACATCCCAGGAGAGCCTAGCCCTGAGTTGGTAATTAGGAATCATCTCTTTCCTCTTCTTTCGTCAAAAGCGTTCTTCCACCAGGGTCACATGCTCATTATCAACTCTTCCTATCAGGGCCAAGCAGTGCAGGGACTTGCAGCACCTTTTGAATCAAGAGAAGCAGAGCCAAAAAGAGGTTTGGAAAGAAACAAAAACTAACCTGTTTACTCAGCTCACTCTCAAAGCAAAAAGCATTCTTGAATCCCAGGGGTATTATATATTCAGTATCTACAGATTCTGGGCTAGGCTGTGCCCTGTGGTGGCAGGCAGGTGCATAACGTGCTCTCCAGTGGGAAGGGAGAGATTAGGGGAGTCTGTCTCATATAAGTAATATGTTGGCCTTCAGTCTGGCCTGAGTGTCCCCTTCCCAGGGAGCCCAGGGAACCCCACAGATCTAGACCTCAGGGTTCATTTTCGCTAGGATGTAGGAAAGACTAAAAGCCTTTCATGCTGCCCAACTAAGTTTAAAACTTTTGACTTTCCAAGAAGAATGCAGTGGCACACATCTGTAATCCCAGCAACTCTGGAGACTGAGACAGGAGGATCACATGTTCAAGGCCAGCCTCGGCAACTTTGCAAGGCCCTAAGCAATTTAGCAAGATCCTGTCTCAAAAAAAAAAAAAATAATAATAATAATAAAATCAAAAGGGCCGGGGATGTGACTCAGTGATCAAGCATCCCTATGTTCAATCCCCAGTGCCTAAAAAATAAAAATTAAAAATTTTGAGTTTGCAGACGATTCTCTGACTGGGTAACCTTAAGAAGTTATCTAATCTGTCAGTTTCCTCATCTGTAAGGTGGGTATAAAGACATTGTCCTCATGAGGATCGGTGGCAATGTCTGAAAATGCCTACCTTCAACTCACCCATTCAGTCATCATTCACCCATTACTCACCCGGCATGTCTGTATTGAGCACCTTCAGGGTACCTGGTACTGGGGATAATGATGAATGCAGCTCACAGTTCTACAGAGCAGGTGGAGAGAATCAAAGAATCACACACACCCCAAGCGAGCTGCAGTCATGCTGCAAATAAAAGTGCAAAAAGCCCTTCCTGGGGGCACAGCTCGTCTGGACATAAGGAAGGTTTCACTGAACAGGGGATTTTGAGCTCAGATCCAAAGATGGGTAGAAGTTTATGAGGCAAAGCAGGGGAAGAACATTTCAGGAATGCAGTGGAGATCACACACCGTATGTTCCGGAATAAAATTTTGACCAGACAGAAGGGGTGGTTGAACTTTACTTTTTGAGGTAAATTTTACATCTAGCACAATGTGTAAACCTTAAGGCACAACTGGGTGCCTTTGGACAAATGCCCATGCCTGTCTAACCAGTGCCCCTTTGAACATACAGAATTTTGCTGTCGGATTGGGTTTATCTTAATAACTTTCCCCCTTAATTAGAAAAGTAAGGGAGCTGGGTGTTAATGAGGACATTTAACTGTAGTGCCCAGGGACAAGGCCTTGGGCTAGGTTTAAATTCAAACCCTACTACTTTCTACCAAGGCCTCCCCTTCCCTCTGAGACTTGGTTTTTGTGACTATATTCAATCTGCTGCATAGGGCTGGTTAAGGGGGGGATCTATAAATGGCTAAAGAACCCCGGCCAGTGCCTGGGCCCGGTAGGCACTGTGTTTGGAGCCCTGTGGAAGTTTCCAGAATGGCAGCTTGGTGGGGAGACAGGCTCTCCCTCACTAGCAGGTGTATGGGGTCGAGCTTTCCCAGGGCGTCTTCCGGAGCACCCTAACACTGGTCTCTCTGTCCGCAGGGATGTGTCTGCAGGCGTTTGTAGAAGCTTTCTTTTTTCTGGCCCAGAGGAAGTTCAAGATGCTGCCGCTCCACGAACAGGTGGCCTCGCTGATCGACCTGTGCGAATACCACCTGTCCCTGCTGGACGAGAAGCGCCTGCTGTGCACCCGGGGTGGCTCTGCAGGGAGCCGTCTCTCCCAGGGCAGCTCGCCCCAGGGCGCCTGCCCTGCAGCCCAGCCTGTGGTGGGCAACCCCCCACTCCGCACCAACGGTGCTAGTAAGTGCTCCTATCCCAGACACACTCTGTCCTGAAGGCCTCTTGTCTGCCCAGGAGAAGCGCGTGCCCTTCAGGGCTGAAGGGAGCCCCTGGGCTCCTGCCTGTGGGGGACACAGGCCGTGGAGGATCCCACCGGAGGTTCCGGTTCCGTCCCCTGTTCTGCTGCACTCCTGCTTTGCAAGGCTGACTCTTGCCCGCCTTTCTCCCCACGCCTCTTGGAGACCCACCCTGTTTTGGAGCCATCAGTGGACATATGACATCTGAAGTGTGACAGATGGCACCTTCTATTCTGGGCTCACAGGAAGCACCAACCAGGGCAAATCTGCCGTGCTTGGGGCGGGAGGGCACAGTCACTCCTGACACGGAGAGCCGCAGAGAGGAAGCTGAGACCCAGAGTGTGCGGGGAGCCTCCGAGAGCCACCGGTTAAAGTCTGAGAACATCACGTTCATTTCCTACCACCCATTCTCCAAAAATGAAGTGGAGATACCAAGTAGGCCGACGCGAACCTCCCACCCCAATCATGTGCTACACGGGTGTAGTTAACAGATTAGCCTCATTTATTTCATTAGCTTGCCTGTTGCTGCAATGTTTGCTTTGTTACTAATTAAGAAATAATTACGATGTAACTAAGTTAGGCTCCTAGAGCCTATGAGCCAGCAGGAGACTCACAGGCCCTTTGGTTGAGTTTATTTGGCCTTGACCCCAAAGCAGGAATTCCATCTTTAGCCTCCCTGTCCAGATGGTCCTGTGGCCTCAGTGGACCCCTGCAAGGGTGAAGCTCTGGTCCCAAGGACAAGGGCCCCATGTACCCAACACTGTGCTGATAGTTATCAGGAAGGGTAGTGAGCTTCAGAGAAAAGACATGAGACCCAGGTGAGAACCAGGGGAAGCAGGATGTATGTGGAGGGAGGTACACTGTGAGGAACAGATTTTTCAAGACCCCCTCCCCCCGGCTGTGCCTGCTCTTCTGTACCCTTTGGACAGGACAAATGGAAAGTGAAAGGCCCCAGTAGAGTAGATAGATGTGTCAGGGCACCTTTGTCATCAGCTGGGGACTGCAAAGAGTCTTTTAAACAGAGCTCTAGCTTGACACGTCCCCAGGTGGGTCTTCAGAAAGTGCTAGCTTGCCAAAATAGAGGGCAATCTTCAAGCTTAAAACCAACCAAGTCCACTGGATTGGGGTTGGGGTAGGAAGCAATGAGGCTGAATTTCAGCCACCTGGTTTGGGATGATATAAAAATGTCAGCACTCATGGTGAGAGATGTCCTCTGCACCCCCACCTCCCATCATATGCAAGCAGGTCACTGTCAGTTCTGGAGCCCCTAGTGCTGGAGGGAGGCCCCTCTTCTGTGGACAGGCCCCTGGGGAAGCCCCGTGTTCTGGAGGACATGGAATCTTATCTGTGACTCTTAGGGAAATGAGGTTGCCATCATGAGAGCCAGCGAGGGAGGCTGGGCAGGCCCAGAGACCCCTGAGTGCAGAGCTCAGGGTCCCCTGCACGGGGCTGCAGCCCATTCTTAGAAGGGCCCTGGGGATCCACCTCAGCTCTTCTCCCCCAGCCCTGCCTGCCCTTTGGCCCCCTCCTACTGCTGTCCACGAGCTGAGCTCCTGAAGGGCCAGGCTTCCGGGGGTGTGGAAAGAAGGTGTAAGAAGATGGTCTCAGCCTGGGCTCCTTTAGGACAGGTACATCCAAGTCTAAGTCCGTGGAGTGTCCAGGGAGGACGACGACTTCCAGAGAACAGACCGATTGGCCCAGTCCACGCCTTCCACAGGTGCCAGTCTTGCCCCTTTTGGTGTCCCTGTCCAGCTTCCTCATGTCTCGTGTGGTGACCTTGCCTGTGCCTGTCCTTCCAGCCCCCAGGGAAGTAGGCTCCGTTTCCTGGATTCGGGAAAGGAGTCCTGTCCCCACTGGCCTAGGCTGGACGGAAGCCTACAGTGGGGGCTGCAAGATGCACGGGTTCAGGGCAGTTGTCGGAAGTGCTGGGCCTGTGGGCAGAGCAGGGCCTTCTGGAGAGCAGAGCCGCAGGCCCCGAACAACCCTCTATGGTTCCTCTTATTCCTCCTCATGAACTCTGTCTGCTCTCCTAGCTCCACCCTCCACTCTTGCCTGGACTTCATTGGTGTCCAGGCTGCTCAGCCCCTCCCACCACCCTCCATCTCTATAGGTTAAGGGCATGGAGAGCCACAGATGACAGAGCTGTCCCCAGGGAGGCCCTCCCTTCCTATTCACGCCTGGACACCAACCCTCCTGGCCAGGCTCTCCCAGGGCTCTTTGTATCTGTCATTGTCAGACAGGAAGAGATTGTACCGTTTCCCACCCATGGGAAGGTGCCAGCAGGGACCTGCCCTTGTCCCCACCCTGCTGCTCCTGCTCCCTTGGTCCTCTGAACGATGGTGAATAATGGCTCCCTTCAAGGTCCAGCTCTAATACCCCACAGCAGTCCCCCATGCAGAAAGAACAGCTCCCACTGCATCCATCTGAGACCCTAGGAAGTCCCTCTGTTACCACGCCCACCCTGGGGGCACAGAGGGAGGCCCCTGGAGGTGCTTGTTGAAGTTACAGGATACTGAGCAGCCCAAGGGAGGAGGCTCCTTGCCGGTTCCTTCTCTCCATGGCCTGCAGATGCCCTCCAGAATCTTGGTTTTCTGCGCCTGGCCAAGCCTGTTTGCTGAACACCTCAACATTCCCAGCTGCCTGGTCTTCTCCCCCGGGCATGGCAGCCATCCCATAAGCTCCCACCCCACCCTCGTTGACTTTTCTGGCCCTGGGAATCTCTCTGTGTGCCCAGGCTCAGATCTTGGCCCTGTCTCCCCGCCTTTCATCCCTGGAGATGGAGGATGGTGCTCACCATGGCTCCTCAGTCCAGCAGCCAGCCCCGTCTCTCCCCCGACACCAACGAGTTTTTGTGCGGGATGTTTATTTCAGAGAAGTTCATCCTGCTGGGAGAGCAGATAGTATGGGAGTGGGACTGGACAGGGCCGGGGAGGACTAGACATTTGGAATGGTGTCCTGTGCTTTTTTGGATCCGACTCCCTTTCCTGTGTGAATTATACAATATATGTTCAGGGCCTCTCCGTTCACAAGGTCCTTTCACGTCCATCTTCTCATTTGATCCCATGACCCAGAGAAGGGTAAGGGTTATCATCACTCCCCTTTCTGATGTCCAGGAGGTCACATGGCTTGTCCAAGGTCTCCAGCCTAGTGAAGGACGGAGCCAGGAATCATACCAAGGACCCTGGCCCCAGAGCCACGTTCTTTCCTCCACCCCATCACGGATCTTGGCCCCATTCAGCAGATGTGGAAAGCCACATTTCGGAGGACCTGACGTCTGCCCAGCAAATACACAGGCGTTGTGAGGGCGAGGGGCTGTCTGACCTGATCTTGACCTCCTGCGCCCTCCAGGAAGGCTCCGCGGGCCACACAGACCAGACAGGAAGAGCTCCAGGCCTTCAGCCACCAAATAGGGACACAATATCCTCTCTCACTTAATCTTGGGAACATTAGGTGAGATAATGGAAAGCATAATAAATGCGAGAGAGTTTTGTAAACCAAAGTGCTACTAAAATGCAATGTCACCTTCAGCCTGGCTTCTGGTTTCCTACAAAGTAGAGCGGGAGGAAGGTAAAAGCTTCCCTGAATGATGTCCGAAGACAGATGAAGCCAAAGTGGTCAGCTCCTCTCCCCTCCCTCCTCCCCCTCCCTGCATCCTCACATAGTTAAAGATAGTCACAGCCTGAAACACGGTCCCTGCTGTTCCTCTGACGTCTGGAATTTTCTTTGTGATTGGCCAAGTGTTAACTCCAAAATAGCTTAATTTTTTTTTCTCCTACATTTCTTGACTAATGTCCTAAACCTCCTTGTCCTTGTAATTGAGACCTTCAGCGTTCAAGCACCTTTTCTCCAAGTTCAGAAGCCATGCACTCTCCCATCAGGGTCTCCCAGGGTCCGAGAGAGCTGTCCCCGCTCAGTGAAGGGGATTCGCCACAGTGTGTTTTAACCTAAAATCCACCTCGATGAGATTGATATTTTTTGTCAGTCTCCTATTTGGTTTGATGAATGCAAGAGAAATTTTCCCACATGGATTATAAATTTTTTCCTTACAAAATAAGCCCATTTTTGCAGAGACAAAGGAACTCCACAGAATAGTCAGCGTGTTCAATTGCCTTCGTCTCTTGTAACCAACCGTCTTAAGTAACTAGAAAAACCATACAGCATCTCTCTCTCTCTCTCTCTCTCTCTCTCGCTCTCTCTCTCACACACACACACACACTCTCACACACACACACACCATGAGTTTGGGTATAAAATGGTAGAATCACCCATGTTACCCTCATTTCTGGCAGTTTGCCCCTGAGTCTGATTTAAAGAACACAGGAAGAAGGGCTCTGTGCAGCCCCGGGCCGCTCAGCAAGAGGCTCCTGGGAGGCACTTCCTCCCACATGAAGGGAAGTGTCTGCTGAGATTCCAACCAGGTTTATCATCCTGGCCCCTGGACATGGCTCCTCACTCTGGCTCCCCCAGGACCCTCCCAGACTTCAGGGACATTTTCCCTTCAGAACATCTTGCATCAGAAGGAAGAATCCCAGAGGAGGCCATGAACTGTTCTAGAAGGATGGAGGGCTCTGGAGCCAGACCTGAGTCTGATTTTGCTCTGCCTGTTACCCTCTCCACGAGTGAATCACGGCCCAGTGACTTCCCCGCCCTGACCCCTGTTCCTTGCCTGTGCAGCGGAGATCATGTCATACGGATGCCAACAACCTGGCGGGGGACTTGGCACCTGGGAAGTGTCTTCTAAAGGTCTGTTGAGAGCAGGCCTGGTCTGCATATGCTGAAGCCCAGGCATGTGGGGAACACTGCTGCTGCCTCATCAGCCCCTGCGCTGAGGAGGCTCCTGCGGGTCTGGCAAGACCCCATGGGCTCAAGCCCTCCTCCCCAGAGCCCAGCTCTGCCTCCGAGAAGCTGCTGCTCCTGCCTCTTAAAAGCCTTTAAAAATTCTTTATTAAATTTTCATGGCGCATGAAGTCAAGGTTCTGTTACTTGGCCTCAGTTGTCTTGGTAACTTCGTAAAATGCAATAATAAAACGAAGCTGAGTGTTGCTAACCACAGGCTCATTGTATAAATGGCTGCGGAGTATTGACAGTTTCTTCTGCATGATGATCTCTGACAGCAATTCCACCGGGGTGGACAGTGCTTGTTCATTTTGGGTCAATTGGTGAGAAAAGGGCACCTTTTAATTTTTTTTCTCCCCTCCCAGTCAATGTTTGCCTGGGAAGCTAACTCTTGCCTCTAGGAGGAGACCTGGGGGAGCCAGAGGGAGGAGTTTGGGAAATCTTGCAACCTTTGATCTGCCGGGGAAGGGCCTGCCTCTAGAGTGAGGCCACATGTCAGAGACTGTGGCAGGGACACCTGTCCC